TATATATATATATATATATATATATACGTATACAGCTGTCTATCAATACACCAAGATGTATATTAGCCAGAAGAAGCAGCAGAAATGGTGAGGAAGGACTGGACAGAACAAGTGAAAGTCGACAATGAGTTAAGTGTGCGGAAAAAGCACTTGGCCTTGCGAATGGCTATCCAAGTACACACCTCAACTCGCTTAGTTCCAATTATCGCCGCAACACTCTCCTCGATTAGTAAGTGCTCTTTTCTCTCTATTTAGAATCATATCTCAATGGAATTATCAAACACACTGTTATTTTCAGCAAATGTGCATAGAGAATCTGTAAAGTTAGTTTATGGATCTTTACAGGCCTTTTACTGAGTAACGCTATAATTAAATTCACTAAATTTTTTGATTAATGATGATGATGAGGAGGAGAAGGAGGAGGAAGAGGTGGAGGAGAAGTAGTAGTAGTAGTAATAGTAATGGCCTAAATTGAGGAAGTTGGACCTTAAAAGGAAATGTTTAAAAAAGTAAGCTGAAGTATGCTAGGCCCTCATGTTCTTTCGTTTTTTAGAATCAATTATTTAATGTCAGAGAGCTCCTGTATTTTTAACTTTTACGTTGGATCACAAAACTTCAGTATTTTTTCAAGATATAATTTGCCCTTACTTCTTATCTAAGCCTACATTTAAGTAAAGTGGAAACAAGAAATATGGTGGATAAAAATTTTAAATCAAAGCTATCCGTCATCATCCAAAACATTATCTTAAATAACAGATTTGTGAAAATGTCTGAAGGCAGCAATGACAAAAGTATCCTTTCGTTTTAAAAACTGGAAATTAACGATACTTTATGGGATTTAAAGAATCGAAAAAAAGAAATCTTTAGAGAGTTGTCCGAATTCGTGTTTGCACTTTTTCGATTCCAAGACTAAGAAAGAAATCAGAATCAAACTCACGATATGTTCGAGGTGACATATAGCTTCAAAGAGACAAGAGCACTTTGCAAATAACCCAGCCGGCAGTTTGAACTTGGATCCTTTTAGTGTTTATTTTGTTCTATGAATAGAATGGCTTATCAAATGACTAATCATAAGAATCATTATTGCTCTGGTCAATAGTTTATTTGGCTGTTTTCTGTCAAGCCAAGATTAAATTCAAATAGAAGTTTGTTTTGGCTTGGAAAAAATACGTCGTGAAAATAATTTCAAAATGATCGGTTTTTTAAAGTAAAACTACTTAAATATGAGAATTATTAATTTTAAACCACTAATTTTATTTGCTTAATTTTTCATATTTCTAGAGATTTTATGAAACTTTTTCTAAATACACTTAAATTTCATACTCAACTGAAAATATCAGTTTCAACGATTTAATCAAAATTTCAACAACATGTACATATGTAATGAATTGTAAACTATATGACTTGTAATTCACACTGAAGTTTTAGAATAGTTATTTTTCTGACTCTAATTAACCAACAATGCATATACGATTTATTCCAGAATTCTTTCAAGCTTAACGATGAAATAAGACATTCAAATTATATGGAAGATAATTATATCTTCTATCCTGACAAGAATGAATAACAGTGTGCATTAATTAATTATAAGTTTTTCACAAATCTGTTGTTTTTTGCAAACTTCAAACAAAACTTGCGATAAAAATGAATTGAAAAGATACTGAAATATTGGTAGAAGAGGAAGAAATATTGAATTCTAAATTTCAATAGCACTGATCTCAATGCGGCTAGAGCTTGAAATTGCCGAATCTTAATAAACTTTTATTGAAATAATTGTAATGAAGTAAAAGTTTGAAACGAATTCAAAATATTTGGAAGCAAAATTTTGATTTGAAATTGTTTCAACAGTTTGGCAATGAATAGAAAAGCTTTTTCATCTATGGATTACTTTATGATAAGAACAATTTTGCAACTCCAGTATGAAATAAAGTTATGTCCTTGAACTGGCAGTCTTCTTCGTGTAATTCCTCATTTCATCTATTCCCTCTTTGGGATTAAAGCCAAATGATTCTTTGCTTTTAGACTTTTTGATGCTTCTGTCAAAAAAAGAAACTGAATGATAGTTCTTTTTGGCAAGATGTTAGGAATAAATTCGGAAGATTCGGAATGGACGTTCTTTTTAATAGAAAATATCGTCTGAAAAATATGGCTGCTTTTTGTAAAGAGGTTGCAGTATGAATCTGTTTCCACAAAACTGAAAAACAGAATACTTCCTCATCTTCCATCCCTGATCATTTTTGTAAAGAACACATTTTGAGGCCTAAAACATGAACTAAAACTAGGATAATTTTAATATCAGACGAAGTTGTGTTTTGTCAAATTACTGTTATTCAACGACTATTTTAGATTGTACTTAAGTTCTTTAGGTTACCAAAGGAAGAAATCGAATAGGTGGCAGACAATTGATAGAGATCAATTCTTTCTCTATCCGAATAAATAATCACTGATTTGTTAATTGAAGCTCTTGTGTTCTATACAATGCTTTTCTCATTTGCTAATAGAAACTTAAATTGTTGCCTGTTTCATCACTCCTGGAATTTGATTCTATTTTATATTACTGACGAGAAAAGAGTTGCGGGATAAACCAATCATCGACATGCAATCATGTTACAATTAACAGATGTACTATAATGCAATTCTAGTGGAAATCGCTTCATGTGTTTGGGAAATATGTGAATATTTCAACTTTTACTCCATGAATTATGGGTTAATCATGTCATGTGTCATTTAAATCTGCAAATTTATTTGCGAAAAACAATAAACAGGGAAAAATATCCGATGGATGAAATGAATGAAGTAATCGTACAATACCAAAACTTAAAATGCAAAAAGAAAGTCAACCTGAAACTAAGTGATGAATTTTTATTAACAAATTTCGCGATTTCAACATTCACATAAGAAGTAATTTTTTAGTGAAAATGATTTTTCCGTTTTTTTTTCTCTCTTTTTCAACAAAATGAAATCCAGTGGAAAATGTAACGCAAAGATAAAATAGGAATTAGAAGTTGTACAGGTTTCAATTGTATTTAGAAACCGGGGTCAATAAGCTGTGCTCTCAAAATTTTGATCAGTAAAATCGCAGATGAGCAAAACCATATGACAAATTTGGAATAATTACTTTCAAATGCATCTAATTAAAATATTACACCGAGAAATTGTAAGTAATACGTTGAATGAAAAAGTAATGAAAATCGAATTGCAATTTCCAAGGTTTAAAAGTCAAAGTTCGCAAAAAAAGGAGCTGATATCTTGGGAACCGCTTGGAAGTTGCAAAATTTAAGACATGATAGAATACAAAAGAAACAATCAATACGTAACAAAAATATATGTGTGGTAATCGTGAAGTAACAGAGACAAAAGTAAATGGTAATTTCAACGATGCGTATGACAGAGTGACAAGCGACACTAGTAGGATTTGGATAAATCAGCAATTCATTTTGATGTAAACTTTTACAAATTATTACTAAACTTAGACATGCACACCTCGTACAGTTCGTACAGTACTTCCTTTCAGGTTTTCTTAAGCAGCGTAATATGCATTAAAAAAACATAAGAAAGCAAAGGGAACTTTACAGAAAAACATAAAAAAATAGCAGCACTCTGGCCAGTCCCATCCGATCCCGTTGTACGGTCGCCTAAACAGAAAATTTCTTGAAAGATGTAGGGAAAAGCGGTTCCTAAAAATAATGTATGTCCGAGAAAAAGGATCTGCTTTTAGGATCTGCTCCTCAATGATATTTAATTCCCATTAGACTGAATGACAGTACTTTTTATGGATAGAAATTGGAAGAATATTTTAAATCATAGCTATCCATTTAGAATACTTCACACTAACATTACCAAATGCAAATTTATTTTAAGTAAGCGGTACTGAAATCTAAAAGTTAAAAGATGTTTTGAGCTTTCTTTATTGCGATTGATACCAAGACCATGATAACTAACACTTTTAAACCTTTGCAAGAAATCTAAAAACTAGCATATCCTGATATACGATTAACCTCTATACGATAATACTGTTTCTCACTACTAACGGCGATAATTAAATGTCTGTAGTGAGAGCAACGATTCCGATAATGCGCTATCGGAAAATTGAATTTTCCGACTGCTTGTATTTGCGCCAAATCAGTCAAACATTATTTTCTATGTAATGAATTTTAAGACATTTTCATTAATAAAATTCAACACAAACAACATTCTTCATGCTCGCACAGAAAAAAAAAGTGCTGTTATCATTATTATTGACAATAGGATCAAGGAATTAGTTCAATTTTGATATCAATTGACACTAGCATGCTTGTCCTGCTTTGATGATCTCTGAGGGAATGTCCAATTAGCGGAGAATCTTATAATTCATTAACAAAAAAGAGCAAAAACAAGTCCCGATGTTTTGTTGTCCCATTGTACCCAATTTCAGTATTACTTTTCAGAGGAAGACAAAAAAATAAACTAACATCAATTTTACTTCCCTTTAAAAATGTGTCAACAAGATCCATTGCTTTTAATTTGACAGATATATCTATCAATTCTATCCTAGCAGAATTCATTCTGAAAAAATAGCTAGTAATCATAGGTATTCTAACTCAGAATTTGAAAGAAACCTTTTATATTTTTCGAAATTCGATCATTTTGCGTAGTAAGCTTGAAAGTATTCAATTCAAAGTATTCAAATTCAAGTTTTTTCAAAAGTATTCAATGGGTCACTAAGCGAAAAATTATCAAGCGATTTGGTCATAAATACAACAAATAATCTAAATATAAAAGAAAAGAACAATAGCATAAGGATACAACGGTAGTGGAAACTCACCCGATAAAACGATAATTAACTGTATCTTTGCAAAATTCGATGATCGTGATGGCACCATAACTTTCAAAATGATCTTTCAATTCTTTTCTACTTGTTCTTATGTTAAGCTAAAAATTATCAGTTATTTTAGGCTTAGATTTATATGATAAGGCAATAATGATAAAGAAATTTTTTAACGTGCAACTTAAGCCAAATTTATTTCAGTTATGTTGACAAAACTGTTCACACAATAACCTCACTTTAATATTATGAGATGTAAAATGATGAACTGGGCGCAAATTATCTCTTGTCATTTTCCAGAAGATCAGTTTCAATTTATACTATCCATTGATTATGATCGTGTTGGAAAAACTCCGAAAGTCATAACGCGAAAATGCAGCAATGAAAAGAAGGTCCTGAGTACCAAATCATTTTCGAAAGACGTGTTCCAACAGGTTGGTTGGGAAGACGATAACGGGCGTTATTTGGTTTTTGGTCCCCTTTTGTTCATATTGATATTATAATTACTGAATTCGTTTCTGTATTACCGGGTTTTGAGAAATAAAGGTTTAATTACCCAAGTTTGAGATTGAGAAATTCGGCGACAGACCGTTTGGTTTTTGCGCATTTGAGAAGGAAGTTAAAATATTAGTAATTGTTTAAAGACTGTAAAAAAATGAAACGTGAGTATGCGAAAAATATTTCTGGCTGATAAAAGTATGGCTCAGAGCAAAGAAGAGCGTTGAATGTGGAATCTGCAAACAGTCAACATCAAGTCCAACCATACATTGTTAATATAAACGTTATCCTTGCAAGCTTCAACCACTCCGAACCATTGATTTTGTGCAGCCTTATCAATAACCATTGATTCTCGCTCAGAATCGGTGATAATCTCGCACAAACATTCCATTTCACGCTCATCTTTCAGTCCTATTTCCAATCTTCCACTCATATCTTCAGTTTCTTCGTTATTTTTCTGCTCTCCAACCATTTCTCTCATTTCTGTCATATATAATTTGGACTGTCCTTTAGTTGAACTGAATGACGCAGAATTGTTTCCTCCATCTTCGGATTCATCGATTCTTCCAGATATTTTCCCTTGTCAGCTAATTCTTCCGTCTCTCTGGAATTCTCTTCCTTGTCATTTACTCTCTTCTCAATGCCATCCGAATCCACTGCATTATCTTTTATTCAGCCTATATCTTCAGACTTAAACCAGAGACGTACCGCAACCACTGCCAAAAAGCCTGAAATTTAACGAGAACTATGTCTTCCTATGCGATAGACAACAGTCCATAAAAAAAGATGAAAACACAATTAGCAGATAAATGAATAGAACAACTGGATGAAAAGTATTATACACCGTTTCATGTGAGCTACAAATTCTTATTCCCTGGAAAGTATCCCTTTCTTTACTAAATGATCCGACTGTTAACCTGAATCCACTATCACATTATCATCCCGGAATAAGCAGGAAGAATGTGATTACTAAACTGGGCATGTTTACTCTATTACTAGTAAATGAAGTGAGAGAAGGATCTAAACAACACTGATCGATTTTAATTATTTAGCTTTAATTGTTTCCATCTATTTTGACAATCAATCGACACTTTCATCTCTCTTTGTTTGATTTCATTGATTTAAGCAAAAAATCAAAGTTTGAAAGTTAAACTCACCGTGATTACTGTTTGGGCCATTAAAGCTAAAAGTAGTGCCTCTATGCCGCCGCGCACCAATGTAACTTGTCCATAAACGCACCACAATTTATAGTTGACAGCAATCTTCGATAGAATGTTGGTGCTAATGTTTAAGGCAGATAAGATGTAGATGTAGACGACCACGGTATTTGCATGCTTGCCAAATTTATATCAACAACTTCCTGATTCAAATACAACTTTTCTTATCATATCATACAATTTCCTGAAATACTGATACCATTAAAGCTAAAAGTCTTCCTGATTTCCAGGTTTTGGTTTTGGTTAATTTAATCCATTCTTTAAATAGCATTTACTTTGCGCCCAGTTCATTGCAGAAAAAAAAAAAAACTGCTAGAAATAGTCAGAAACATACAAAATGCACATAGTAATATCACCGCTCTAATAATAAGAGGAGATTGCATAATATTTCGAATTTTGGTCAATTTGTTTGTGGAAATTTTTATAAACATTAACTCAAAGATATTCCTGAAACTTCAAATAGCATTTACGTTTTGCTTTCATATCTTCTCCTCAGCTTTTCTAAATGCACCTGTCCGATGATAATCTTCATCCGTAGCGAACCATTTGCGCACTTCATTTCCATGATAAGAAATTACAGTTTGAGTTCAATCTGTCATTTCTCTGAGGCACTTCGAAAAAGACTATAAATAAAGTGCAATACTTGCAGATCTTCATCTCTTGTTGGTAACAGTGATGAAAAGTGCCAAGAGCAAAGTGAAGATTTAAGTTTCACATAGGACAGAAACACGTAAGGATAATTTTATCGATCGATTAATTCTTTGATTGCCGACGCAACGCTAATTTGATAAATATAAAAAGCTTTATCTGAGTATTTTAAAGGGATTTACCTTCTCAATTATTCATGCCTCTCTAGTGATCTGTAATAAGTTGGTCATTTCATTGGATCCAACGTCACGTTTCAAGAATAAGCGGTTTTGTTCGACTACCATTTTGACAAACTAAATAATTCGAAATAAATTAGTCACTTGCAATTATTAAACAGACATATTTCAATTAGATGAATTAATCCAATCATCATGGATTGAATTATTCAAGATTGAATTACAAAAAATATTCTTCAATGGATAATAAAAATATGAAGTACTGAATAATTCTCATCATCCAATCATGTTGGAGTGATAGATAGCAGTAATGCTTTACATAACAGAAATACTTTTAGGTTTTTTTTTACTTTAGGTAGTTTAGGTTACGAGATCTAAGTCTAAATATGATACATACATCTGTTTCTCATTTTTGTGAATATATCATGAACTGTGGCAAAAAATCCTAATGATCTTGAACTTGATTTTCTAAGATCTTGATTCTAAGATCTTGAACTTGACCTAATAATCCTTTCCCACGCTAAGAACCGTGTGATTCTTTAACGATGATAGAATGGTATCATATGCATCTAATCCTCATTTTTGCGGGAAAATTATAAAGTTCCCAGTTTAATGTATTTCAACGGAAAAGATTGCCATCTTCATCGAAAACTATCAGACGACGAAACCGGCGGAGTCCGCGGATATCCAACTTTGTTGGATCCATTCCTTGCGAATAGATGACTATCTGTCTATGCTTGTCGTTAACAATATGCTTACTTCATATTCATCTTTTCTGGTAGCAATGCTCATAAATTGCATTACTTTATTACTTTAGAAAGTCCAATACATGTAATAATGAGTTCAGAGTTCATCCTAAGTAGTAACACGTGAACCGCATATATAGCTATCTGTCCCGCTAGTTAATATATTAAGTCTAACCAACCTCAGGAAAGTATGCAGAATGTGAGAGAAAATACTAAATAGTAAGAAATGCAAATGAAAACGGTATTGAAATCGATAGAGACAGACCGATAAGTTTGGTAAGAATTGCCTAAAGCATATGACGAGAGATTGAAAGAATAAGAAAATAACAGAGCAGCGAGGCAATGATGCAAGAAATTGTCGGAATTTGTACCATTATTGAACAATGTGATATATATTGTCCTGTGGCACATGCCAACTGAAGATTTAAAGTGGCGATGTGGGTTCGTCGTGAAGGAAATGTCACGTCCAAACGTGGATACGTGGGGTTTCTCCGGATGCCTTGCTTTTTGATACGTGTAATAGAATTCATCGTCGTGGATTTTTTGTTAAAAATTAACAAGTTTTTGTGGACATTATTGTGTGTTAAGAAGACTGGAATGATATCATATGTGTATAGGATTTTCGTCCTCTTGGCACATTTTGATTGTGGACAAAATTATTCAAATTCTCAAGGAGAAAAGTTTTTGCGGAATCATTTAATCGCTGCTTGGTATTCGAATCGAAGCATGCGTGTCTGAATCTTCATGCTTTCACTTTTTAAATCAAACTAAGAAGTTTTAAATATTCGATCTCGAAATGTGACTAAATTCATGCTGCTATATGCGAACTGTCTAAGTTGTAATGATAAATGATAATGGAATTATTTCAGATCATAAGACGGGTTCGTAGAGATGTTCTATTATCTTCATTATTTAATATAAGAGATTGTTGGCGCAAGAATTGCTTGTAGGGAAAAATGCTACGAGTAAGTTTTGTTTTTAATTTTATTTTAAAATTTCATTGCTTGGGTTTTATTTCAGAAATTTCGAATGAAATGTTAATAAAATGTTTCTGCTTTCACTTCCGAAATATTTTCGAAAAGTGGTAGTGGATAGATGCATAACTCAGTAGGTCATGAGAACGAAGACTTTAAATTTTGGCTTAAGGAACAAAAGAATCGTCTTTTAACATAGTCCAGCTAATGCTATTTGTTGGGTCACTTGTATGAACAAAACTATGGCAGATTCCCGGTGGTAATATCTGCATATGAAGGGAAAAAATTTATTTTGGGTCTTTCAATAAAAATTCAAGCACTGTTTTTAAGGGTCCGACTAATCCAGTTGATTTTGACAAAGAATGGAGAGAAGCAAAGAGTACGGTGATATCACTGCTGAATCAAAGGGTATTGTTTCGAAAATATAAGTAATGAAAAAGTTAGTGGTTGTGCAACTGGACAAAATATTCATTTTTAAATATTTATATTTGGAATCTGACTTGAACTTAGGGAATTTATTATGGGATTACCAGTTAGCTTCAGCTTAACAAGTTGTTGAATGAAAATATCGATTTCGAATAGAAAAGGAAAAAGTGAAAATTAGGACAAACTTACTGTCACACTACTCATCAGTAATCTCTTTCCTCAGATTTTCAGTTGCCGATAGCATTTAGTTGCTTCGTTATCTCCAAATGTTCTGCTCTGAAAGAGCCCTGGTGAACAATTTTTGAAAGTTTATAATAAAAATTAAACAAGTAACTCAGTAGTTACAATGCTCGTATTAGTCGTATCCTTTCCTATATTATTAGTTATGACTGGAAACTTGCATGTTTCCAGTCTTAACTGTATGCCCTCAGCGAAACGGATCACATTTTCACTCTTAATCAGCCATCTTTATGTTATTTGTGCTCTGATAATGTCTATATATTCAGAGTGTAAGTAAAGTACAATGGCAGGAGTTATTCGCCATTGTTCATCGTATATGTGCATGGATCGAAGGCGGCGGTGATATGGTCCGCAGAGAATTAGAAGCGGAAGTGCATCGTTATATCATTGCCGCTGAAAGAGTAAGCTGTTCACAATTTATAAAACTTTGGGCGAAAAAAAAGATCATTGGAAATTTGAATTTATAAAATACTTCCTGGTAAGATTAAAGGAGGTAACTTTTTTATAGTAAATAAAAATGAATACTTTTCTTGCAGCGTATAATGCAACATGAAGAAGAAAATGCAATTTTAAGAGTGTATATCTCAGAGTGGACAAAATTTTATACGCAAACGGAATATCTTCCAAAGCCTTTTTCCTATATTTCGGAACAAAAAAATTTAGTATTGAAACCAAGAAATTCCATGAAAGAAGCCAGCGTTGTGGTTTCGTCGGTATGTCGGTTTTTTGTGCAAAAGTTAGATCTTTGAGTAAGACTTCAAACTGAATTCGGCATTAACTGAATTCCTTACATCTTTAATTGATTCTAATGAATTTGAGCGATTTTGCGAGAAGGAAATATGTCTGTGCCTGCACGTTTTTGCCTGTATTGAATAGAACAAGATCCAAAAATAAGTGATAATTTCGTCTTTAAATCCTAATACTTTTCTTTGTCAGAATTACTTGATGACAAGAATGGAAGATCTAAATTCTGGTCTTTGACATTTTTCGACGCTCTAGCTTCTTAAAGCAACAGCCGTTCCCAATGCTTTTGATTTGCAGTTTCCTGTGTAGCTAGATGATA